ACAGAAGCCGAGCTGTCACTTGTTCAATACAACAGTAGCGAATGCCCCATGGAAAGGTGATCTTTTCTACTTAACAGAAGCATGCATACATAAATAAATAAAACCAAAAACTACTACATACCTGAAATAGTATAGTGCTAAAAACATCTTTTCTGTCTGTCTACAATTATCATAAAAAATAAAAACGTTCACTTTGTAACCGAAAATTCGACTTTAAAATCTAATACGAAATAAACGAAAAAGTTGAAGCCGACATTTCGTATTCACTTTCCGGCTTTCCCCTCTCAAAACGATATTTCTCACAAAAAGTATTTGACTCTCTTTGGAATTTCAACCATATTTATTCTCCTCTTTTGCAGGAAAAAGTAGCGAGCAGGTGAGCATTTGCGAAACAAAATGATACACTGAAATGAGTATAGCTTAGTGCAAGTCAGTGTTGCATCTCAGCTGAAACTTAATAAATTCTTATGAAAGGAACAAAACATAGCTTAGAGGGCAATATTTTTATAGCGATGCACCATTAAAAGTGTACACAAAGCCACACATATCATTAATAAATCAATTAAAACAGCAGGACTTTGATTTTATAGCATGAATATTTACAAATACCTAGTCTGTTCCAGTCCTCTGGGATTTAGTCAGAAATAGATTTAGTCCGGAAGATAGTACTAAAGATATTAAGGCGGATTCTGAACAGAAACTCCATGGGAGTTTTCTCTTTTTTCCCTTTCCTCTTATCGTGAATAAAAATTAACTGAGAATTTTTTATTTTAAATGGCGGAGTTGAGCTGTCAAAAAAGTGTCAGACAGCTCTTTTGAAGTTCAAATTTCATCCTCCCAAATTTGCGGAGAAAATGCTACTCCCTGGGAGCTAATTATTGGAGGACTTTTTTCTCGGGAGAAACAAATTGCCGGAGAACAAACTTTCCGGCAGTACTCAGAATTGGACTAATTATAAATGAGTGTACGGGAACGACTTCTGCTATTTCTGACTAAACCATGGAGGTGGGGAACAGGATAATTTTACTCGCCCACTTTATTACTATAGTGTAATTGGGGATAAAAAAATGGTGTGCCCAGCAATGTTTAACGAAAAAGGGAGTGTTTTTTACCAGATTTATTATGTGAATATCGTCAGCATCAATGCGAAAGGCTCTAATTGAAATTTCAAAATTTTACACGAGGAACAACTTTTTTAAGTTTAAATAGAAATAGTATGTAGATATATTTGGAGCATAGAAATTATTTTTCAAGTTATGGCTATGAATTTCGGTATTTGAGAAAAACTAACAGAATTCGCAAAAAAAACCAAGCCATCATTCATAACATAAGAGATAGGCAACAAAAATTGGTTTATTACCTTTCATTTCTTTTATGTCATTTTAGAAACATGTTATCAAAAATTCTCAAACTGATGAGTTTCTCCAAAAGCCCCCAAACGCGCTTTTAAGCTCTAATTTTTTTTAATTAATAAAAAATTAGAAGGAATGAAACTGTTCCAATTAATTATTGCTCAAATGTCGCCTGTAGCAATAATAACGAGATGAGAAAATGACTTATTCAGTTAATAAAAAATGGCGAGTTGCCTTCGGCAGACGTTTTAGACAATTGGTAATGAGAAATCGATACGATGGCGATATTACCGGAAATAAATTTGTTGTTGAGGGCGACATGGTTTCTTATTGCCGGCAACAAAAATACATACATACATACATATGTATAGTTCTTAAACATCCAGTTTTTAATTTAAATCAAATGAATGTACTCTGCATAGGAGGTCTCGATTTTTTTCTTATGCTGAAAACTGCTCGATAACGATAACGGCTTCGTCTGCTTCGGGAGACTCTGACCATAATAGCCCAACTTCGCTTTGGCTACTGCAGCAGGTTAAACTGGTACCTGATCAGATTAAATGCAGATGTGCCCAACGAGTGCCTGGCATGCGAAGAGATACCCCACGGCCTCGAGACATCTCTTCGTATGAACACTAAACCCAACTTCACTAACGCCTCTGTCCCTATGCACGGATCCTAAAGAAACTGCACGCTTCTTGGGTCTCCCGTTAGTTGAGCTTGACGACAACGATTGAGGGAAAAGGATTGAGGGACTAGCATATGTATGTATTTTGCCTTATGACCATAAACAAATACAAAAATTGATAAAACGAAGTAGCTAATATATGTACCTATATGTACATATATACATATATAAAATTTATATATAAAATATAGGCCAGTTACGATTATTTATCAGTTAATAGGAACATTTTTTGAATACGTGGTTACAAAGAAACAACACTGTTATCTTTCCGTTTCCGAGCGCGGAGAGAGCAAGACAATCGATGACAGAGAGCGCACTTGAAAAACCACACACTTCATCTCTTTCTAAAAGCTAATGCTATACTTTTCACACAGATACTTTTCCAAGCCTGGTATATGACGAATTCGGCAGCTTATTTTTCGAATGAGCAAGTTTAGCGAGAAATTCTCCAGTATCTACGACCGGCGGTTCCACATCCATATATGGTCAAAGTTAGAGTCGTTACTGATAAGGAGCCACTGGCATAGCTGGGGCCTTTATAAGAGCGTGTTAACGTGTTTTGCTATCATTACATTTTGCGTTCTTGTGGTGTGTGCGATACAGAAAGGCACAGCAGCAACAAAATACAAAGTCCCATAAGACTTGAAAAATAATATTAATTAATTTTAGTAAACTTTAAATTTAAACAAAAAGTAAGTATATAATACTCAACATAAAAGTTTGATTACTTCAATTCGTGAAAATATGAATTAAAAGTGCATGGGTACAACCAAAGAAAACAGTTAAATAAAAAAAAATGTGAAAATAAAGACTGATTTTGAAAATGAAGGTGCAATTTGTTATTTACATATGAAACTGGCTTTAAATTGCTTTCGAGAAGAATACCTATTTATGCATAAATTTGGATTACAATGCGAATATCAAAACAACCGAAAAAGTGCATTTAAATGATGGGTTGATGGGCACAATTTCTTAGTATTTATAAAGCAAAAAAAATAGCAAAAAGAAAGTGAAGTTAAAGAACTGACAATGAAAAAAATCATATTGTCATGTGCAAAAAATTACACACAAATACATATATTTTTGAAATTTGCAATAATGCATAATAAAAGTTGGGACCTTGAGCTCATTTAAGTGTGAAATTTATAAGATAGTGTCATACCTAGTCACATTTCTGCTAAATATACTACTTATATGTATGTACATAAGTGCAAGATAACACCTATACACTCATGTATGTAGATATGTATGTACAAATTAAGCAAATTATATCGCACATGCTTCATTTATGTACATACATACATACGTACATACATAGCTGGGCGTGGCAACTTACCTGTATGAAAGTTTAGGAACGGAATTGTCCTATATCTTCAATTTTGGCCTGTATGCTGCATTCGATGATATTCATATGTATGGAGCTGTTGGAATGAGTCAGGCCGGAGTCAATAGAATTGGTAGACATTGACCTCGCCAACGCCCTTGTCGCCTTAGCATTTCCGATTGCTTCTTATACGATGTATAAATAAAAACTGTGATACATATCGGCATTTGTATGCTTTACAATACTTTACACGCAAAATATACGTATTCACTTTCATTTCGTAATTATTCAATGATTTTCTCCAAATATTTCTAGGCACTCAATAAACAAATTTCTTTTCTTGTCTATTTTCGCAAAATAAGATTTCACAAAGAAAGTTCATTTGTCGAACTGCTAGCATTTTGCGGTTTTACCTGCTTTTTTTGCACTACAGTGGTGCTAATGTGCAATCGGCGGAAACACGTCATGCGGCAAGCCGGCTTGCTCCATATTCACAATCACACGCACACTTTTGTGAAACTAAATCGTCGAATACGAGTTTTCGCCCATCTTAACTGGATACTTCATGTAAAAAAAATTTTATACTTTTATGTATCACATGAATGGTCGCCTAACATTTTAGAATTGCGCGCTCACTGAAAAAATCTATTAAACTTTGACGATAGAAACTGGTTTTTAAACTTCTTCCTCATATATGGATAAAGCCTTGCCGCGCCCTAAAAGCGTTAATGGAATTAAGCCCCCACATATTTAGATTTTCAAAGCTACTTGCATATTTAAGTACATATGCATGTACATGCTAACTACATATATACATACATATATGCACTCATACAATACATATGTATGTGATTGTATAATGGCTGACGCTGCCTACATTTGAACTTGACTCATTTTTCCGCTTCCGCCCTTACTACTTCCTCTGCACACTTTTTAATTCAAGAATTCCCAGTTTAAGTACATACATACATACATATATATGCATGTACGTAAATAGTAGTGGACCGTTAATTCGTTTCTGTTGCCTTTTTAATCAAACAAAAAAAGTATGTTTACGTACATGTATGTACATATCTACATCGAATTGCATATACAAATTATAGCAGACAAATGCCGGTTTTGCTGAAGAAACTCTTTTTTTGGAATCATATGGGAATGTCCCCCCTTCCCCTTTCTTCAACAACTCATTCTCCTATTCTGTAGCTAGCTTACTCACTCACACTTATCAAACGTACACGCACTGAAAACGTGATAACTACAAAATAAAGTTACTTCTTTTCGACATGTCATCAGTAGGGGTAATTCGTGAAATCGCGATACGATTTTTCACTGCCGCACATCAAACATGACCATATATGGTCACAAAAATGGTATCGCGTATACTACACAACTGCGAGCATGTTTTTTTTTTGTGAGAGCGGCAAGTGGGGGTTAATCGAACTCGAGATTCACTGAGACCATTTGACAACTCAATATCCTATTGTTGCTGTCTTATTCACTCTTTTCCAATTATGGACAATTGAGCCAAAACGAAAGAGCCGCATAGACTTCAGCTTCGTGCGCGCTCTCTCGTTAAACGTTTTCGAAAAAGCGGGGTAGTATTTACTCGGTACTCGCTCGTTTATTCACTCGTTGAAATGTAGAAATTTTAACTGCCATTTTTTGCTTAACGGCGTCCCATTCGTTGTTGGACTGTCAAAGTGTTTAGTTGGATTTTTGCGTAAAATCTTCAAGACAAGGTATCCAATTTGTGCCAAGTCAGCAGCAGTGAAATTTATCTATAGCGTTTAGTGAGTGGATAAACGGGTTTAAATTTGATTTGATTGCAAGTTAGAAGGTGAGATATTTTGCACGTTTTAGTAATGAAGAGATTCGATCTTGAATATTGATCAGCCGGCTTTTGTTAATGTGCGCAATTTTGTTTTTGGTCATTCTTCCTGTGTAATCATGGTTTATGTATAAGAAATCGGGCGTTCACCTTCCGAATTGAATATCTTACTAATATGTAATCCATTTCGTTCAGTAATTAAAAAGCCATGTTTCTAAAATATATCTAGTTAGATTATAGTGCATTTCTAAATAAAGTGAAAGAATTTTTTATAATTTTTGTTTGTTATGGCTAGAGTGGTTTTTGTCTGTTGATTGTTAATAGATTGCTTAGTTCTATGTTTCAAAATTTGTAATTTCTGCTGAAATTGTAGTTTAAATTTCTTGTTCTCGTTTTTATACTCGTGTTTACTTGATATACGTTTTATAAACACATTAGATCATTCTAAATTGTTACAACAATACCACAAAAAATTCTCGTTAAAATTGGCAGTAAAAAGTCTAAGCTCCGCTGTAAATTGAATAAGGGAAAGGAGACTAATTGGCGCCACTCGAAGCGAAAAAGTCAATAATAAATAATGCCATTGTTTTACTTTCACTAATCGATATTTTCTCTTTTCTTCTGTTTTCAGCAGACAAAATGTGTGACGAAGAAGTTGCTGCCTTGGTTGTTGACAATGGTTCCGGTATGTGCAAGGCCGGTTTCGCTGGTGATGATGCACCCCGCGCTGTCTTCCCCTCAATTGTGGGTCGCCCACGTCATCAGGGTGTGATGGTTGGTATGGGCCAAAAGGACTCGTACGTCGGTGATGAAGCACAGAGCAAACGTGGTATCTTAACCCTAAAATACCCCATCGAGCACGGTATTGTGACCAATTGGGATGATATGGAGAAAATCTGGCATCACACCTTCTACAATGAACTGCGTGTCGCCCCCGAGGAGCACCCAGTTCTGCTGACTGAAGCCCCCTTGAACCCAAAGGCTAACCGTGAGAAGATGACACAGATCATGTTCGAAACCTTCAACACACCCGCCATGTATGTGGCCATCCAGGCTGTTCTGTCGCTGTACGCCTCTGGTCGTACCACTGGTATCGTGCTGGATTCCGGTGACGGTGTCTCCCACACTGTGCCCATCTATGAAGGTTATGCCCTGCCACACGCCATCCTTCGTTTGGACTTGGCTGGTCGCGATTTAACCGACTACCTTATGAAGATCTTGACTGAACGTGGTTACTCATTCACCACCACTGCCGAACGTGAAATTGTTCGTGATATTAAGGAGAAATTGTGCTACGTCGCACTCGACTTCGAACAAGAGATGGCCACAGCTGCATCCAGCTCATCATTGGAGAAATCCTATGAATTGCCTGATGGTCAAGTGATCACCATCGGTAATGAACGTTTCCGCTGCCCAGAAGCCCTCTTCCAGCCATCATTCTTGGGTATGGAAGCCTCTGGCATCCACGAAACCACATACAACTCGATCATGAAGTGCGATGTGGATATCCGTAAAGACTTGTATGCCAACACTGTGCTGTCTGGTGGTACCACTATGTATCCAGGTATTGCTGACCGTATGCAGAAGGAAATCACCGCTTTGGCCCCATCAACAATGAAGATCAAGATCATTGCGCCACCAGAACGCAAATACTCTGTATGGATCGGTGGTTCTATCCTTGCTTCTCTGTCTACCTTCCAACAGATGTGGATCTCGAAACAGGAATACGACGAATCCGGCCCATCAATTGTGCACAGGAAGTGCTTCTAAACTGGTTAATGGTATTCACAAAACTATAACCAAACAAAATTTTAGAACTTTAAAAGATTTTTTTTTTAAGTTTTCATTCAAATGTATTATTTTTTAATTATTTAAAATGTTACAAAAACTTGAGAGAAAAGAATAAGATTGGCAAACTCTTCTTGTCGTGCATTCGTCTATGTACGAGTGGGACATGAGGAGAATACTACAACCAAAAAGCTAAAAAATGTCGATTTTTTCTTTATTTGGAAACTTTCAAAATTCGCAAATTTAAAAAATAAAAAAGTAGTTCCGTATGGAGTTAAATTCATCTTCATTAACACGTATAAAGAAAATTTCACAAAATGTTTTCATTATATACATAGTATAATCACATGCACCATCAGCAAAAAAAAAAACATTTTGTGTTCTAATTCATAAAGACCAAGTTTGTGCTCGAGTGGGTGTTCAGGATTGATTTATCATCGTCCTTTGCATCTATATGGCAAAACTTTCCATTTTTGTACTTGCAAGAAATGTAATGTTAACTTCAATGTTTATTTTTTATTTATTTTTGTTTTTAATTACATGCGTATTGATTTTCTTACGCTAAAATGTTAATTAAACAAAAAAATTACTAAAGACTTGAACAACAAAAATATTAATAAAAAAAAAAAAAATTTTCTTAAACAAGTAAGACTTTGCCATCTGGCCCACTTTTCATTATTACGATGGTAAGGTACAATTGGAGGAACATTCATTGTCAAGAATCATTTCCATGGATTTATAAGAGAATTACACTTGCAAAGGCATACCATCATGTTATGATCAATGATCAATTTCAACTTTATAAAGGTTGGTGGTGGCAAGAGGCGTAGGTTGGGAAGTACTTATGGGGAAAGATGAATTGGCAAAGGGTGGATATAAAGTATTTAATTGCTACCACAAAATCAGGAAATGAAAATAATTGTAATAAATTTGTCATCAAGAAATAAAACCAAGATATAAATAAATGATGTCATTATTTTTTATTACGGGGCTAAAAGTAACCTGACCTATGGGATAGGTATAATGCCATAAAGAAGGGACATCCATCTGTTTAGAAGGTACGTATACTTTCCAGAGGGTACGCTTTTATATTCCACACGCCACCATTGATAGAAAAGTCCATTGAGAAATCTGAAATTGTATACTTAGGGGAAATAAAAACCTTATATGTATGTATGCACATATCGTTACCTTAATTCACGAAGGGTATCAAACAGAGGTAGGGGTTTTCACGATATAAAAAAGAAAGTGAAGTAGATTTTCGGCTTCTAATATTTTAAGTATTGATTTATATGTATTATCTCATAAGTAAATACTCTTTTTTCTAGCTTACAGAACAGCAAGAGGGCAATGCATTTTTAAATCAAATGAACTCACTAACTGATATCGAATTTGATTGTTTGGACAACTTCGGGGGCATTATTATATGTAAATAAAATGGACTTACACAGTACGGGTACAGAACGTGCAATGAAAAGACACAAAATTGTACACATTTAAATCTACTTTCCGAAGGGGGCTTATTTAAACCAAATTTAGATTTTTGAAATTGTATGGCCATTTACTTAGTACTGCTCCAAACTATGTGCACAATTTGCTAATCAATACCAATGTGAAATTGGATGAAAAAATTCAAAAACGTTTTTATTTGGGTAGAACCTATGTATTTTAAAATAAGATGCTTTAACAGAAAAATAAAGGAGTTGGAAAATTTAAATGTCAGCAAAAAAAATTAAGAAAATTACAACCTAGAATAATGGGTGCGTTCAGCAATTAATCACGCCAATCATCAGTCGCTGTTGGCCATTTCTCGTGCGTTTTTTATTCGTCGAATTAAAATGCCGAATGTTTACAAGTAATTATATAAAAACAGATTTGGGTTTTGTTAACCCGTAACTTCAATTGCATTTCTGCTTGGTACAAACTTTTAAAACCAATGGTTCGTCTCTACTGATGTTATTGAAGAGATTTAAAATAATTTTTCTCGGTTACATTCATAATCCGGAAATTCAAAATCCTGACATATCAAAATAAAGACAAAATTCAATTCAATTCAAATGCAGAAAAATCAAAATACAGACAAATCAAAATACCGGCAAATCAAAATCCAGACAAATCAAAATACAGACATGAGGGGAAAAAATGTCAGTATACAATTTTTGCAAATCAAAATTCTGTCTGTTAAGTCGTAGTTAGGCTCGCAGAGAGATCTGCGCAAAAATACTGTGGGAAAAATACTGGGGAATACTTTTCTAAAAAAATCCCGAATCCACCCCTAACCTTCTTCATCAAAACAATTTCAGTGTACCGGAATTTATTTAAAAAATTTTAATTAGTAAGTATTTACAAACCATCATTAACTACTTATATTAAATTGAGATGCTTAGCTATATTGGCTAAGTATTCTTTGGGAGCACAGTTTTCCCTTTCCATAACAATTGTTTTAAATGTTCTGTTTTCCAGGCGTCGCCGTTTAGCTTGTTTTTCTCCACTAAGCACCGTTTCAATTTTAGTTTCTACAAAAACTTGCTCTTTTATCAAATTTGATATTAGATTGAATGGTATTGCCAAACTAAACATGAAAGACGCGCGATTTTTCATTCCAAATTTTCGCCTGCGGCGTTTTTTTATATTAAATTATATTTTAAGAAATACTGAAAATTTGGAATAAAAAATCGCGCGATTTTTTATTCCAAATTTTCGCCTACGGCGCTTTTTTTATATTAAATTATATTTTAAGAAATACTGAAAATTTGGAATAAAAAATCGCGCGATTCTTTATTCCAAATTTTCGCCTGCGGCGCTTTCTTTAACAAAAAAAAGAAACAATATTTAAATATATACTGAAAATTTCCGCCACTTTTTTAAATAGGAAACATTCTAAAAAAATTAATATTATTTTAATTTGTTGTCTGCATTTTGATTTGACTGTATTTTGATTTGTCTGGATTTTGATTTGTCTGTATTTTGACTGTCCGCATTTTGAATTTCTGGATTTTGCTTGTATGGATTATGTTATACACCCAATTTTTCTCAAATGGAGAATGACGAATATTAAAAAAAAATTAAAACGACCTGCGCAGATCTCTTTTATTTGATAATACCAAGCAATACTAGTATGCCATTGTAATTTTTCAATCCTTGACATAAACTAAATAAAAAACAAAACATTAAACTGTACTTGATTTTTGTTGTTTTACGAGCATGTTTACAAGCATATTTACCAATGTTTATGGATACGCTTTCTAGATATTTGCAATTTACCGTTATTCAGCTTAAAAAAAAAGATTGGTTCCACTTAATCAAGTATATCTTACGAAACGTCTGAACAATTGTAATACGAAATACGGCAAATCAAAGCCAATTAAATTCTCCATAAGCTGTGTATACATCACTTTTCTATAGGCCTGACAGTGTCTGAGAAATTAATTAATCATTCCAGATTTTTTGTTTTTTCGATTAAAAAATTCAAACTTTAACAGGGAAAAAATTAAAAAATAACAGTTTCTGTGTAAATGTTTTACCTGTTCCTCCAGAAAAAAATTCAGTTACCAATGAAGAAAATCGATGGATAAATAAGAAAGTAATGATTCGTCATATTACAAGTAATTTTTAGCAAAAAAAAAACCGCCTTGAACTCTCATATAAAAAAAAAATATATATATATATATATCTCATGATCCGCTAATCGGATCTTAACCAGATTAGCAAATTAGTATGGGACCACCTCTGAGACACTACCTTTCCGATGCAAAAAGAATTATCGAAATCGGGTGACGTGGGCCAAAGTTATGCGGTAACATACATAAAAACAAAAAAAACAAAAAAAAATATTCCGACGAACTGATAACCTCCTCCTTTTTTGGAAGTCGGTTAAAAATGCGCAAGGATTTTTTGTATGAAATATGAGCAGAAAAGAGTATTACTCATACGCCACGCACACCTGAGTGTTTGCATCGAAATTATTAGATAATTTCCCAGAAACTATCAGAGCTATCGAAAAGTGATGCACATACGGTTTAGGGAGAATTATCTTTCATCTTCCGTAACTCGTATTACGTTTATTCAATTGATTCGTAAGATATACGTGATTAATGGAAACCACTCTTTTTTAAGCTGAACAACGGTAAAATGCAAATATCTTGAAAAGTTATCCATAGAAAAAAAAATATCTCGATTTTCGGAATCACCGATCAATTCTACATTGGAATTGCATAGTGGCATCCATAGAGCATTTTTGCTGTAAACCAGTGTAATTTTTTTACATTAATTCGATCTTTGTGAAAACTAAAGGCATATATAAAATACGTATATCAAATTAAGGGGAATCAAATTTCCTATCAAATGAGACCAAATCCGAGCATTCGTTTTCAAGAAATTTTGATTTAAAAAATTGTTTAAAATCAACTCTGACCCTCCCTTGTTGTTTCCGCAAAAAAATATATATACCGTTATACTAACCGCAATGATTTCTATCGATCACCATATATATATTTTTTTTAATTTGAGAATCGGCGCTATTCTGCATTTATGCCCAAAGTCCCCATCAATTTTTGAGAGCTTTAGGGCCAGTTTCTCAAAGTCTGGTTAACACATGGTTATCGACGCCCTTTTTTATATTATGGAGTCGATCTCGTTTAACCTGCAGTTAGTGTTAACCAGACATGGAGAAACTGACCCTTAGATTTATAGTATAAAAATATAATACTAGGGAGAGTATTTCCAAAATTAGTGAAGATATAAATAAAAACAGTTCAGAAATAGTTTGCTTGTGAATCACACCGATTTCGAATTACATGATTTTCGGAACAAGACTGATCAATTTTCATTGAACTAAATTCAGATAACTCCTGCCCACCTTATGACTGTTGAAATAAATTTTAAATAAAAAAATCAAAAGAATGTTTTATTCACAAAAAAACTATTTAATAGCCTATAGTCAAAGAAAATTAACAATGACTTCATATTTGGTATTTTCATTCAACTAAACGAAAGTGGCATTAAATTTTGCATAAAGAAAGCGTCCAATCCAACGCAGAATTAGCACACTTCCGATTAACTTAATTAGGAAATGTAATACTTTGTAAATCTGCATGCGTGTCAGGGCGCCTTGGGAACACGTTGCCGGTTCATTCAATAAAAATACGCGAGCGCCTCGTATACCTGAGCGAAAGAATTGTTCATAATCAAGATCTCTGAATTGTAAAAAGCCGAATATATGTCTGGAAAAATTTAAGAAATTTGTGTAATATTAATCCTTGAATTTGGAATGAAGTTAAAAATTGTAATATTTACTCTTCCGAATCCGGCACAAATGAATTCAAAGCGTAAAAGTTATCGTTTTTGAAATCCCATTCTGTATTTACAAAGAAATGCAGAGCCAAAGTAGCAGCATAAATTCGACGTTGTAGTTTCAAAAGACTAAATAAATTTATAAAATTTAATTTAATTCATACTAAAGAAATCCACTTTTTGTTTTTTAATTTTATAACTTACAATGGTTTCGTGTTGGTAAAACGCAAGGCAAAATCGACGAAAATTGCCACTAAAACATGTAGAGTAACGAACTGAAAAGAAAAAGTGGAAAATATGTGGGTTTTGTAAATAAATTCTAAATAAATAAATAAATAAATAAATAATAAATTCATTATATCAAAAAGAACATTTGCGTGTATTTTGTTGTTGCGTCTAGTATCTAAAATGTCAAAAAATAGGCTACTCTTTTAAATATCATAGTGGGCAATGTGAAATATAAATAAACTATCAGATGATATTAGAAAAAATTTAAAATTGGTGCGACTTTCTTTCTTACATCCTTTGCAGAGTCCAATAACACTGAACGCTAAAATAACACAAAAAAACGCCGAGATACATAAACTCAATTTTGGGTCGTAGATTACAGATCTGTTTATCGTTTTTCTAGATCAGGTCATTTTCTCAAGATATTTTCATTTTAAGTTGGCATTGT